TATATATACAAGCCTACTTACACTAAGTTTAAACCACGTGTCAAACTGAAGGCCGGTGGGCCAAATTTGGCCCCTGTTAACATTTTATCTCACCCCAAAGGTTTCAGKTTTGTCTTTTTGTTTTGGATGGATTTAGTTCAGTCTTTTCCTGACAGCTGGACAACTTTCAAGCCAAGAAAAATTAAGTCCAAATTTTTCAGTAAAGGTTGTATGGACTTTAGGATCTTTTTCTGTATTCCCTTCTTTTATTAGTTAAAGTTAAAGTTAAATAATTGGATTTTGAGTGAGTTCTATTTATTTTTTACCTAATGTTTTCCTGATTTTTGCTGGATAAAGTATATTTTTAATAAAATACATAAGMAAGTTGTTGATAGAGAGTAAGGTGTAAGAAATGAATGCTACTGATGTGTCTTTCTAAATTTATTTGTTTTTAATCTGTTAGATTATGTATTTTCTAAATGCTACATAAAATATAATTAGGAAAAGTTCATTTTTGTTCTATTTCTTCAATAACCAATGACAGAGATTGGCCTTAGGCTTGGACCAGAGGCTGAATTTTGGCCCTCTTGTGTAACAGTTTGACACACCTGCCTGTTTCAGCTGTTCTCTGCCGTTATTCTGACRTTCGGCATCATTGTATATTGAGGATGCTTTGCTATCATATCGTAAAGTACCAATAAAACAAATTTATATGTTTGTGAATAAGAGTCAAGAGAAAAGTAGCTGTAAAGGACCAAAAGACTTGAGTTGAACACTGATTTTTGAATACAGGAAATAACTATGAATTAATTTTGGCATATGGTCTTTGATTTTACACAAACATGTTAGTATCTGTACAAAAATTGCATCACTGATTTAGGATTTGCCTTCAGATTTGATTTTCTCTGGACCAAAACAAGACGACCAATGGATCAAACGTGTCCTGCGGGCCGTGAGATGCGTGTTTATGGTGTTCAGGTTTGAATCTGTTCTTCCATGTTTGTGTCTTTCAGCTTGTGAAACAATGCCAGGCCATGCTGGATGCAGGCAGAGCCTACTGTCAGACCAGCAAGAGCTTCGTCAACGGTCTCCGGGAGCTGGGACAACAGTGCTCCAGGGACCAGATGATGAAGGTGAAATAAAACTCCTTATGCACCAACATTTCTTTCATGTTGTGTAAAACCTGTAGAATATAGGTTTTTAGATGCTGTAGCTTCATCATTTTGGGTGTTCTTTAAAGTGTTGATTAGAAATCACAATTATTGGTTGAAGATATCTCTTTGACTGACATCCATTTACAGAAATCAAAGCCAAAACTGATACATGTTGGTCATTTAGACCCGCTGACCAGACTGATGAGCTAACGGCTAGTTTTTGAAGAGCCAAGATTGAAGAGGAATGTTGTTTTGAAACAAGTCCAGTCTGAAAATGTTCCATCGGTTCATGCAGACTTTAAATTATAGACCTTTACGTTGACGTCATTTTTGTTCCACACCTTTTTTCCCTGCAGCTATTTCACCATTCTTCTGCACCAGACATACCACCATACAGCTAGCTGCTACTGCCATTCTTTGCTCTTGCAAATCACCTTGTTTGTATTTAAAATACCATAAAATGTGACATTTACATCAATGTAAGTAGTGTTTCTATAAAATATTTGAGACCTAGTTGTTTTAAATTGTTGTGTTCTACTATAGCCTTAGCACCTCTCTGGTTAGCCGTTAGCTCGTCAGATCAGAATTAAACTCAAACTGAGTTCATTCAAAGAGCTATTTGCAACAGGTAAGATATTGATTTTTTCTAACTAATCCACAGAACCCCATTAAAAAAATTAAAGTGCCTATGACATGCCTATCCTTCAAGTACAAAAAGTCAAAGAAAACATCTTTATACTTAAGAAAATTGGCATTGTACAGATTATTTACCCATTTTGTCACATAATTGGCATATTTTCTTTTGAATTTGGCTCAGTCCAAGTG